TATATATATATATATATATATATATATATATATATATAAAACAACGTATGTATATATAATTGAATGTATTATAATGAAGCACTAGGCTCTGAAAAGCAAAAGCAAAGGTTTCTCATAAACTGCTTCATTCTTGCTATCCCTATATCTAGGCTGACTTCCCAAAAAATATTTCAATACCTCCAACTTTCTCTACTAAAATTTATTTCCAGGCCAAATTATGCAAATTACATTCTTTCTTTACTTCTTTATTATGCGTGTTTGCATCATGAATTGTCCATTAAAACTCCCACAGGAGTTATAGTGTGAATCGCTGTGTATTGCTGTTGATCAAAACTTGATCCAGAACAATGACCCAGGAAATCCTGAAAAGTTTCTAGACTATCAAAACATAATGCTTAAAAAATGTGGCATAAATCAATGTCACTTTACAGTACAGACATGGTAGAGCAGTGTTTCTTAAACTGGTCCCCAGGGACCGCCAACCAGTCCATGTTTTTGCTCCCTCGCAGCTCCCAGTTAGGGAGCAAAAATGTGGACAGTCTAGCTGTGAGCTGGGTTGGGAAACACTGTGAAAGAGGAGTGATAAAGGCTCTTGTCCAGTTATGATGAATAACACTGAGTATCCTTAATATCTGACAAAAAGAGTCAGTCAATAAGGCAAAGTGACACCAGGTGTATACTGCTGCTTTAAATTAATAATTTTTTTTTTTTTTAGAGTAGCACTTTCAGTTATGTTTGCGGCTTTAAAGATTTTCTGTTTTCGTATAACTCTTAAGATCATGAAAAAGCAAATTAATCTCCTTCTGTGCCTACCATTAAAACCATTGTCCCCAACTCAGAACATTATCTACATGTTTCTGAAGATTCTCTTCTCCATTGCAATTCCTTAACATTCTTGCTTTCCTCTTCAAATCTCTCTTACTTAACTGAAGTCAGGCTCTGTTGTTTTAGCTTTCATAGTCGCTTTTAAGTTTCAAAGCTTTTAAAATCATTGATGAGTTCTAGGAAAATGTAATGGCCTAAAAAATAGTGTATGATTTCTATCAAGTCTTGTGATATTCATTGCATTTTTGATGTTGAAATTACTCCACAATTCATTAAAGCTTAGTCTCTTCTCACCATTATTAGTGTCCTTCTTCATGTGGGTACAGGAAGATGCTTGGACCGCTGACATTTAAAGGTGTCACATCAACAGAGTCTTTGTACTGTACATTGTCAGTGTTTTTTATTGTCAAAAATGGTCCCAAAATGCTTCTTTGCCATTGAGTCCACACACTGTGAAGCCTGTCATTCACATCTATCATTTTTTGGTCTTTAACCATGCATTTTTTTTCTTGCCCTTATTTGTTCCAAAAATGAACTCACTTTTGTTTTAATAGCACAATGTATAATAGTACTCTTTAAGTCCAGCAGTATGAACATGATCATATTGCCCCATTCAAGTCATTTGATAGCATCTAACTAAATAGTAATTGTTTTTTTTTCCATATCTCATCACCACCAAAGTTATTGTTAGTACAGGTCTTCTTGTACACATTCATATCACATGTATTACCCATTGATAAGATAAAGAAGAAACACAATTAAAATAAGATGGCAAAAGGCAATAAATCAAAAAACATTGCAGCACAGACACAAATGGTACAAAGGCCATCAATTTGACAGGCAGCCACTGAAATTAAGCAGTTGCTTGCGGCACATACAAAACCTTTTTTTCCTATGTGGGCAGTTCTAATTCATGATGATTCTAATGATGATGTATTATAACTAATAGTCAATGTATCTAAATGGTCCTTAATCTATTTACAGTGTATTGTTATAATCTTATATTGTCTTACAAATTAACTCATTTCTGAAGGCAAAGAGAAGAGCACTGTGGAAGATTTGTATACAATAACTCACAATTCACATTAAATCTGATGAATAATTGGTATATTGTGGGTCACGGTTTCCCAAACCTCCTGTCCTCCATTTGTCATAAAATTAAGAAACCTGCAAGTTATGGTGACTTAATTAATAAGGCTGCTTTTGAGTCATATAATATTTAGAACATACTATTTTTGAGACCAATTGATAGCTTTTTATAAGTAGAACACGAATCTTCATGTTAGAATTAATAATCATCCATCCATCCATCCATCCGTTTTTGTAACTGTTTATTCTAGTGAAGGACAAATTTACTAAGAGATTATGATATCTTGAGTAGCTTAACTACATAAATTCACACATTCAATAAGAATAAAATGGTTTTGAGACTGAGGAAGGGCAACAAGCATCATTCAGTAAGATCTGGGTATGCGGTCCGGGCTGAAAGACAAAATGGGGAATGCGGTTTTAAAATTACTGGTAATTAAACTCTGTGACTGAATTGACTTTGTGCTGCCCTGGGATGAGCACACCCACACTGGTTCATAGGGTTTATAATCCTCCATTTGTCTTTTTCATTAAAACAAGATATATAAACGACAAGTTCTTTAAATGTCATCATTGTTGGGAAGTTGATTCAACAAAACTACTGAAAATATTACAGTAATGTTCCACAGCACTGTCCATTCTGGTGTAATGACGGTATGTGCGTGATTTTCTCTAAAGAACATTGTCCAGAATGACGTCTCCAGCATAAAGTCATGGCACAAGGGAGGGTACAACCTCTACTGCCTGCAAGCTCATCACAAACTAGGGGCAATTTAGAGGTTCCAAGTGACCTAAACACACGCTTTTGGGCTGGGGGGCGGAATTCTGAAGAAACATGACGAGAAGAGGGCCAGAGGAAGGCTTTAAAACCCAAGTCAGGGATAATGATGCTATCTCTAAGGCACTGGGCCAACTGAAGGATATTCCCATGTTAGTTAATGACACATTAAGGGGCTTTTACAGAGGATGTCAGATCACTCCTTCCTCACCGAGTTCTCAGACAAGCTATAATATATTAACATAATTTTAGTTTCCCTGACTGCACGGCACACCTAAGTTTGTGTGAATGAAAAGCATTATTAAAAGACTGAAAAACATCATTATAAGATTTCTCATCATCTTGGACAGAATATTTGCTGATTAGCTGGTACCATATACAGCTGCAAGTTTCTTCAGAGGCTTCAGTGTGTATGTATACAGTACAGTATGTAGGCAAATTCTGTTAATTATAATTATGCTTAATCTAGACTTCAACAAAAACCTTATTAAACAACAGATCCAACACTTCATCATCTCGCATTTCCTTAAATCATTTCCCGTTATTTCTTTTCCTTTTAAATTTATGAAAATATTACATATTTTAACATAATTTGTGAGAGGCTCACATGCATTTACTCTCACCTTGTTATCTTAGCAAAAGTTAAAATGATAGAAATCTATTTTACACAGTGGTCCCGGTGACAAATAATTATACGACATTGGCATGCACACGTCACGTTTATGTCATGTATTATTTGTGTCAAATGTTCAAAATTTTTAGTGAACACTCAATATATATATATTTTTTAGAAAAGACAGATAATGGAAATATTTACTTATTTTGGCATTCAAGTTATGGCAATTCAAACAGTAGTCAATGGTATTCTATAGGAAATCAAACATTTTAATTGGCAAGTTCCTAAAACTTCAAGAGAAAAATAAAATGAAATATGAAGGGTACAATAAGCACAAAAAACATTTGTATTGTATTTTTTTAAGATGCTCATTAATTACATGGTGCAAAATTATGCTACCATGATCCACTACATTTTTTTCATCAACAAACTACTAACCTAATTTGAAACATGGACATATATTTTTTTTCTATATATGGACATTGGATTCAGGTATATACACTAGTAACTGAGTTTACAGAACAAATAATTGTATGAAATGGATACAGTGATTTCCATATCATAAATTAAAATGTAACTGAAGAAATCAAATTTTATTTTTCATTCATCAGTATCATGCTCCCAGATATACAACCTTGTAGTATTTCATTACAAAAAAACAATCGCAACATGTTGGTGACACAAAAGGCAGGTGATTTCTGAAGCTAAATACAGCTTGCCAAAGAGAAACTGCTGTGTACATTTAAGATTTTTGTTCAAAAAAATCCTCTATTCATGATTACTTTTGTTATAACTTGAGATAACAGGTTTGTTTTCATTAAAGAAAAATAGAAAAAATTGCTTATATACAAGTTGTTACTTGTACAAGTTTTAAGACCTTATATTAAGTAATAGTCTGTTAATAAAGCAACAAATTATGTAAAGATCAGTATTGAATTCCTCATTACTGAAATCCTCATGCTCATCTGTATCCTCTCATTAACAACATTTTTTTATTTTTTATTTTTTTTGCAAGAAAGCTCCAAGTCTAGCAAAGTGGGAATTCAGAACAGACTGGCAGCATTCAGTGTCTTTCTGAAATATATTTGACAATATATACAGCTCTACAATTATGCAAGACTACCAGGATTTTATCTATTTTTATCAAAGCTAACATTGAAACTACATTTACAGAACTGTTGCTTATTTTTTTATTTGAGTCTTACTTAAAATTGCAGCATTTCTATATTGTGATTGTTTATTTACCGTTTCAATCTGTAAATTTTATTTTCTGATTGTTTGTATAAATGTATATAATGCAGTACTTACACAAAATTAACAAAAACTGAAATTAAAATTATGCCAAATAATCTGCAGATATCCAGGAGTTCTGTATTTGTCTTGAAATTCCCATAATACCTAAGCTGTCTTAGTGGCTATTTTTATTAGTTTATATTTAGTTCTTCCAAAATCAATCGCCTCTCAAACAAAATAAATGAACAAAATCAGCAATAAGCAAGATTTGAATTTAAAGAAATTTAAAGGTTGCAATAAATTACCTTTATAAACAGCAGTGTTTGTTTCTGAAGTACAGTAATGTCTTCTCATAGACTAAACTATTTTGACAGCTTATTCTTTTTTATATATAATTTTGTTTGGCGCAGCAATGCATCAGGTTGTCATATTATGATACAAACAGTCTCAATACAATGGCGACTGACTGTTGTTGTGTTATTAACATTTGAAGAGAAGGCAGATGATGGAGGCCAGTAGGAGCCAAAGTGACTGGGTGAGGCATGCAGAACAATTAATGTCTCTTCCTGTGCCTGGTCCTGGGGAAGAAAAGAGAAAAAGACTGTTATGTTGAAGTCTGCTGCTTTCATTGACTGGGGTATTCAAAATGGGAAGAAAACATACAGATACAAAGTAATGTGCATACAAAGTAATATGAATATAAATGAATAAACAAACAAGCAAATACATAGTATATGAAATATAACAAAGAATACCTTTAGGGATTTGAAAAATGTTTGTCTGTGGTGTTGTTACTTTCTGTTATTTATTTATTTATGTTTTGCCTGAGTATATTATGGGCGGCACTTACTGTTTTTATTGTTTTTGCAGTTAGCGCGTAAGTAAATATTTAATTATATCGTGTACCCATGAAAACCTTAAAATCATTTCAATCTGTAATACTTGATTACTTGAGGGCAGGGCAATGTATCCATACTTGTTTCCATTCAGGCATAAATTAATATGAAATGACAAATTTGCGTACATCTGAACATCATCAGCATTACCCAATGCTAAGCTCAAGGGAGGTCAGGTAGAATTACATAAGAACATGCTCAGTTCAAATATATTTTACAATGAAATGTCCAGTAGGTTAAATTTAAGCATTTGTGTGAATATCTGAAATACAATAACTAGATATATTAGAATGCAAACAAATAATTCTTCAAATAATTCTTCAAGGTCAGAATTTATACACACCACAAAATGCCATTACTAACTGTCCCATTGTAAATTCAAATGGAGTGAAATTTGGGGAATAAAATGTATTTTCCTATCCCTTTTGACTGAAACAATATTTCCTTTTCGAGTTAACACCACCTTCTGCAATTTACTGATACTCTAAAAGTAAAATATTACTCTGGTCCTGGAATAGCATAAAAAGATTGCAGCCGTTCAGATATAGTAAAATTGCTTTTTTTTTCATCTGAATTATTATCAATATTAAGTAACACTTTACATTAACTACATAATGCCTCCATGATGTATTTGTAGAACATTCAATGCACCTTCATAATGCATTCATAACGCATTCATAGGACATTCATAGGCAGTGTGTACAGTAAGTATACCTTAATATCCTAACATATCATATCAACTTCAATATACATTAATAACAAACATCATAGAATTATGTTGGCCTAAGCCGATTTCAGTTCTTCCCAGGGTTCAGCTGGCTAGTTGTGAATCTCCACTCGGAGTAGCTAGTTACATTTTTTCTCAAGATTTCATTGTACCATGATTTTCAATTCGTCCCTGAGCAGGCCACTGCATTAAGCTGAATTTATTACTAGGTTCAAGAAACCATCCCCGGACTGCATTAGACTTGTGACATAGAATTATCTTGCTGAAAAAAATCCATACAGCTATATTTAAAAATAGCTTTGCAGGTATGCTGACCTTGATTGACTTTGATCTGATAAATACAAAACAGAAATGTACGTTTTAGTTAATTGGTTGCCCTTTGATAGATGTGCCACTATTTCACGGCTGGGCAGTGCTCAGTAATGGCAACCGATGATTTACAATATAACAAATAACAGGAGGCCAGTCCATTGCAGAGCACACAAGCAAGAGGGAATTTAGAGGTGGTAGTGTGCAATACCATGTAGAGCTGTAAGAGGAAATCGGAACAATGTGGGGAAAAGATGCATAAGCAAGAACCCCCCCCCCCTCCAAAAAAAAACCAAGATGTAATTATTGCAAATATTTATGCAGATTTGAGAATAAGGGACTGAAAACAATAATCAGTGATGTCGAACTATGGATGAACATCTAACTGCCCTTTAAGACAACATCCTTATCTTGTCATGACATTTACATCTAAAACACTGACCATAATATTCGACAAATAAGAACCAAGCAATTCGTCCACTTAAGTTCCACTTAAATCTTTTTTTTTCCCACTCTATCATTTACTTTTTTTTTGAGATGCCCCACTGTCATTCACTCTAATTTTCAGGTGAGCCTGCCACAGAGGCATCTCTCGCATTCGCAAAGTCCACAAACTACATCTAGCTCCAGACTTCATCTGGGAACGTTATTCAACAAACACTGCTGCTTTGCAGACTCAGGTAATTGCAATTCCATTCTCCAATAAAGAAATGGTTTAATCTAGAAATGCATTAATCATGGGATAATGCAGTAATATATGAACTAATAAAGAGATATCGGTATGGGTTCATTAGAGAATATCTTTTATTTAAAATTCATCCAACGTCAGTGCAAATCAGAACACACTCTCCTACATTTCTGTCTAGGAAGACCTAGATTCATACTTGATTTTTTTTTTTCCCCTCATCAAATGTAGTCTTGCCTAAGCGAGGCAGTGATGCAATGATTTGTAAGGACCGTGTTTGTCTAGCTGGAGTGCTATCGTACGCCACATATGCAAAACTAAAAAAAAAAAAAAAGTTTAAATCAAAGTTTTGTATTTGTATGGGTTCAATAATACCCGCTTGAAAGTAAACGGCGCATGGGCTCCAGGCTGCTGCAGACATCACCACCCACAGTTTCCTTCACATATTCCATTTTCCACCCACAGCCCAAATACTTGGTGATTGTGTGCGTGCCCTGAGAAAGACCGCAGCCATTTAGGGCACACCCCTGCTTTCTGCCTCATGCCGCCTAGGATGGGCTCCTGCGGGTTGCATTGTTGCTTCACACATGCAGGTTTAGGCGCCTGAATTCCTCCTTTCACCTCTTATTGCAGGTTTTCCTGTTTCCTCCTGTAGCTCAAGGACATGATTTTAGGGTATCTGGCATCACAGCTGGTTGTAGTGTGCGAGTGTGTCCATGTGCCCTGTGATGTAATGGAGGTATACCCCTGATGGGTGCCCTGTGATGTAATGGAGGTGTACCCCTGCTGGGTGCCCTATGGTGCCCGGGCAGGCGCCAGGCCCCTCCACGGCCCTGCTCAGGATAAACAGCTGAAATATGGATGGATGGAAAAACTTTGTGAATGCCATAAGGTAGGCCACAGGAACTAATCGTATATGTATTCACTAGATAGCTTGTCCATCTTGCTCGGAAGTAAAACAAAATAAAACGTGAATATAGTTAGTGGACAAGGCTGCCAACTATGCTTCTGTTTTGCGTGATACAGAAAGAATAAAAAAAAGGCTGAAACTATGAGTGGTTAAAGAACTACACCAAATTTATATTAAGAAAAGCCAGGACATATTTACAGGCAAAGAAACCATCCATTTCTTCCCACTGAAAAGCCACTAAGAAAAATAATGCCAGTTGATTGCAGTTACTCACAGACTATAGACAATTCAGAAACACCAGATGACCTCACTGCATGTTTGGGACTGCAGTATGAATCCAAATGAAAACATTTAGACAATTCAGAAACACCAGATGACCTAACTGCATGTTTGGGACTGAAGTAGGAACCTAAATGAAAACATTCAACATGGGAAAAGCAAGTAGTGGTGGGAGTTTATCTGGACATTACAGCCTAAAACAGAACAACCCAATTAAATTGCTGTTTAAGGGTACATATGCTAAAAATAGCAAACAAAATTAGCAACTCAGTTAATGGCAGCTTTTGGCAGCTTTTTTATTATTATTATTATTTTGCTTCTGTTTCCACAATAGCTTTTACCTTTCTTTGCCACTTTGGGGCTTGCTTTCTAACTCAACCTACCACATTGGTGGCAGGTTGGTAAATAAACAGCAGTTCAACTCTCAAACTAATCTGTTCTTGCATGTCGCTCCAAAAGAGAATGGATAACTAAAGTACTTCTGGGAACAAATATTGGTGATCAACAGTGAGCCCAGGTCTGGAACTTCTGTATGAATTGCACCATCTGCCACCACCTGCTGCTCTGATTACACTTCCCATCATCGAGGTGTCGTAAGATGGACACTGGAAGGCCACTGTAGCTGGGGGACATTCTGGCTGGTAAACTGTGCCGCATGGCATCCCAAGGCTATCTGCTTAGCGAAAGCTGCCCCCAAAGCCTTTAAAAGGAATATCCTGCAGGACAAAACTGATATGCAGCTGGGCAGTCGAATGCACTGAATGCATGCTACCTACTTGCTTCACTTCTCTTACTTTGAGTATACTCATTCGTTCCGGATTGTGATGTCACAGAGGATTCGCTTTTGCCTGATAAAGCGATATTCACAATCACGATACGAAATCAGGTTTCAGGGATTGCAGGGCAGCTACACACTTGAACAATGTCATCTCTTGCAGCCAGTCCAGCTTACAGCCTCGAGTTAAAATGATTGATTTAACCCAGAGGCCGCAAAGATACAATGTATGCTTGTTTGCGTTAAGTCAACTCTGGGACTGACATACTTTCAGCTTATATGACTGATTCAACTCAGTCACATAAACTGAGACCAGTTTAACTGACCTAAGCTATTAGTGAGAAAGCCAGATTTGTTAGATTACAATGCCCTAATACTAACATTCCAGCGTTTGCTAACCCTGGCCAGGAATTGCAGTAACACCACTGCCTTTTACTAGGGTTAGAAATTTTTAAGATAACCAAGTAGCAATGATTTTACAATAATTTGCTGGGTAGAAATAATATATACCAATCACAATTCAAACCAAAACACAATAATCACCCTATATGACCACTTAGTTACCCAATTACATTGCCAAGGCTCTCACATTTCATCAAAAGTTTGGAGTGAGATTACATTAGAGGCGAAACGAGTGTCTCACAGTCAATGCGTAGACTTGAGAGCCCGGCATTACACATATACAAATCCACACACAAAGTCAAAGCAATACATACCCAGCGGAGGATATACACAGTAGATGTGCAGGATCTGGCCACAGATGTTAATTATGCAATATCATGTGGAAGCTCTGGCTATAGGGTGTCTCCCAACTAAAGGTTACATAAGGTCAGTGTGCTAATCACACCTACAATGTGGGAGCTCTGACTACGGAGTATCTTCTTGTGGTCTACAGATGGTAAGTATGCTAATCACTCACACACACAGTGGGTATAGACTGTTCCCTAGTATAAGTTACCGACAATAACTGCATAACACTTTGATACCTCAACAATAA